TTTTTATTAACTAATCTTAACCCCGCTTGGCGTATAGACTTCTCTATCGATCACCTCAGTATGAATTGAGGGATTTAGGTACACACGTACGCCATATGCAGCACGAAGGTAGAGCAGGGAAATGGAAACGAGTAAAAAACTGGTTTAAGAAAAATTGTCCAATGCTCCGCAAAAGAACATTCCTGAAAAACCACAAATCGACAATGGACAATGGACACATTTAATGAGCGAAATACAAGTATTTAACATGTTTAAATTACTGAAAGTAGTATTACTTTGCTCCTCTGCAGCAAGGGTATCTTCTGGCTAGACCACAACCTGCTGTTGACGATCTGATCTCCCGCCCCTTAAAAGGCCAGTCTACACATTATGGCGTTAGACCAGAATGCACGTACATGCTAGCTCCCGCCTAAAAAAAGGAATAGTCACCTAGCTCTCTCCGCCAGCACCCCCCGGCACTTGTTCGCAGGCTAGAAAATAAACCAATTCACTGACAAGTTCTTTTTAATATAACGTCAAAATCCGTCGCCTAAATGAAAAAATGCTTTAAAATGTCTCAGCCATTTTACTTATCATCTTTTAACCAAATCAGAAAATAGCCTTTCATATCGATTTAAAATTTCAGATGGAGAATGCCCTCCTTCGTGGTGGTACCCCTCAGGCAAAAACGACTGCCTAGCAGCGAAGGGCGAGGGGAGAAGTCCGTGGCCATTTTCGAAAAGAAAAAGAAGTGTAAAGACTGCACCTTCGTCGCTCAGAAAACGTATGCGTATGTCATTTTCTTTAGGCCGCGCAGAGTCATTAATTAATGTACCCTTACGGACCCCTTTTAAAGGAGCAGACAGTAGGCGGTTCTGGAACGGTATAACGTGATTTGTGCTCCGCCACCCGAAACCAAACATTTAGCGGTGGTGAGTAAAAACTTCTATTTTCATGCGCGAATTTTGTGGATCAAACAACGTCTGCTACCTCGAAGTGGAGTGATAAAGACTTGAATTTTTGTATGTGTACCAACCCACCCATCTCCTCCTCGTGCCCTAGCTAAACTTAAACAAGCTAAGTAGACTTTTCATGACGTTAGCATAGTCACCTGAGACCTCTTGTAAAGTTCACTAAAATAATAGCAAGCACTTTCGTAGCCTGTTCACAGACCCCCTACTTTTTCTTTAGAGATCGTCGATCTATTTTCTCTTTGATCGTCGATTTTCGCGTATGAAAATAAAAACCGCATGGGATTTATTGACTATTAGCGCAAGGACATCTCTCTCGCGCGCTCGCTTCGCTTGCGTGCTCGTCTATTTTCGAAACGAAAAAGGAGTGTAAAAGCTGCACCTTCGTCGCTCAGAAAACGTCTGCGTAAATCATTTCCTTCAGGCCATACAGAGTCATCAATCAATGTGCCTTTATGGACCCCTCTATGAGCAGCCAGTAGCCTGATCTAGAACGGTACCACGTGATTTGTTGCACCGCCACCCAGAACCAAACATTTAGCGGTGGTGAGGAAAAACTCTTATGTTCATGCGCCAATTTCGTGGATCAAACAAAGGTCACCTAACGTAAATGCAGAAAACCTTACTTCTACATTAACATACCCATGTGACTAACAAGTGAGGAGCATACCAAGTGACTCACGACATCTTTTCTATGATCGCAATACATTCAGCATTACTGGGGCCACAGGCGCCACAAACCAAGTTTGAATATGTGCGAGATGCTATACGAACATACAACAAAGACTTGCACCGTAAAACACGTATACCAGCAATTTCTTTTCCGGCGCGTTACGCGTCACGCACTTCCGGAATGTTATCTTCCCTCGTGTTGACAGATTGTAAACATATACAAACTTAACTTTGAATCTGCCTTGATGCAGAATTTAGTTAGCGGTGCTGTGACCCCGTCTAGCATTTAAGTTCAGGTAAGTAAATAACTTTTCTGATTTTAAGGTTTCAATACGATTAAAACTATAACAAGCGAGTATTTTGACAATATTCCTCTCTACGAACTTTGATTTGAACTGCGTATTCGTGTCTCTTCATTATGGTTTATCGCAAAAATCAGTTGAAAGGACTCATGTTAAACCGAACAGAAACGCCAAAATATAATCTGAAACCGTTACAACTCTGACTAGGGTTTAAATGTCGAAGTAACTTATGTTTGCAAAGGATTAATATTCCAAGCGTCGAAACTTGCTTGTTGCACGCGCTTTCCTGGTGTCAAAATACCCTTCAGGTTTTGGTCTCTCGACGGTGCGCATTTGGAATGCCGCCAGAAATATTTTAACACAAACGACAGCAAAGGATATGCTTTAATACAGTTTATGTTTCATACTGAAATTGCATGTACCAAGTGGGTTTTTACGATGGTGAAGTTAGGTCAAATTTGCCATTTTTAAAAAGTGCTGAAACCGTGTTTCTTCTTGCGGCCGGTACAGTCTCATTTAAACGGTTCATTTAAAGTTAATTGCTGAATTATAAAGTAAAAATGTGTGTATGTTTTGTGACTTGATTTCATCTAGAGATATTATTCCGTTTTTATGTACGAGCGAGGAGGAAAATGCTCCAGCACGTTTAGGTCTAGAATATGGCAACTGGCTGTAATTTGCAAGGCAAGTGATCAATTGTGAAAATTAGAAGAATTCAATCCAAAGATGAAATGAAAAGAAAATGAAAAGAAATAAAAAGCAGGCGAATTTCGCAATGCGAAATATTTGGACATTGAAACTGACAGCCAGTTGGGGCGAGTCAAAAAATGATTCGAAGGGAGAGGTTGACGGGTCAAAATAGGGTAGGGGAAGGAGAGGGAAGGAAAAATACGCCTGCACGCAACCATTGTTCGTTTGGCGAACGTCGTACACTGGATAGACGGGTGCTCTGATTGGTGCGGTTTCAGATGTTTGATTGCTAGCAGCCAGCCAGGTATAGGTCACATAGGAGCATACACTTTCCGCGCGGAATATTTTGCCATGATTCATTCGGATTTGGAGAATCATGATTCTGCTCTGGAGAAAGCTCTTTTGTTTCTATGCATGGATTATGGATATCGCTTAAAACTACGATCAGAGCAAAAGGGTTGGTCGTTTGCCGAAGGCTCACTGACTTGATCATGATAGCAACTGATGAGGAAAGCTTTAGTTCCAACTGCAGTCTTGCTTTAGGACTTATGACAGTGACACTATCAGGGCAGTTGCACAGTCTGTACAAGTGGCCAACAAAGCCAATGGCAGGATAACGCACCCCAGTCAAAAGATTCACTTTGCTCAAGAAAAACAACCGATGTATCAGCGCCTAAAGAATGATCCAGACTGAGAAAAATTCTCTATAGCTGCTGTGGCTTTAGTTCAAACTACAATACGGATCTGTACTGAGAGTGATCATGATCTCAGCTATCCGTGAGAATTCAACATCCTGCAGACTATAGCGCAAAATATTGCAGGGGATAATCATGGTCACCAACAAAAGCTACATGCCTGTAGATATTTAAGTCCAGCCATTGCGGAAAAAATAAACAAACTTAAATCTTTAATAAGAAGTTAAAGAGAGATCAGAGAAGATAGGTGTGCATCGAGATAAGATCCTGTCGAAAATTAAAAACAACTAGTACACAAAACATTAATTAATAGGAAAAAAAATATAATTGATAACTATGCACGGAACAGTCCGGTTTCATGACCTCTACATGTTAAACTATATAATCTGCCCGTTAACAAGTTCCAATTCTCGAGCAAACTCTAAGGTCACGTTTCACTGGCTATCACAAGCTCATGGATCGTGTTTGGCCTATTTTGGCCCCAGTTTCCCAATGTTTTATGATGGCTGCTGCGATCGATGTACACTTTCGTTAAAAAGAAACACCTGCTCTGCAGGCTAACTTCTTTTTAAGTAGGAGTGAGTGGGTATTTATAAGATATCATTCCCCGCAAAACACTGATGTTTCTTTCGCATGCTATCTTTAATAATTTAGCGAGATTGTAGAAGGCATAATTAGTCTTAGAACCGTTAGGCTATGTCTATACTACTCTGCTAGCCTAAATAAAAGGATGTAATGTATATACATACCTCCATGCGGAAGAAATAGCAGCAAGTAGAATACATTGCGTAAACCTTCCAAACCAACATTTAAAACGTATTTCATGTTAGTTGAAAGCGTAGCCAGTCAAAAATTCTTTGCCAGTAAACAACGGACACTTACAATAGATATACTCGGCCACTCACAAAAAGCGAAAGTTTCAAGGAAACAGTGACTGACAGTTTGGAATCAGCTTCCAGCTGAAGCATAAAGGTCATCCATAACACTGTATTAGCGTCTTTAGCGGAAGTCATTTGTCACACCATGTCTTATATTATCGTGTTTTGGGTTAATACTGAAAATCTTCCCCTTAAAAATCAGTTTCCCATACTGATAACATATACAGTAGCGGATCCAGACCTTCAGATAAAGGGGGGTCTCGGTCATCCAGACCCTGTGATAGGGGGGAGGGGAAGGGCGATCTTAAAAAATCTTTTTTTAGCCCTTCGGGCCTCAGTTTGGTATAAAAAAAAAAATAATAAGGGGGCGGGGCCCCCGGGCCCTTTCCCTGGATCTACCACTGATATATAACGGAAAGAAACAGGTACTATGTTTTAGGACTGTCTCAGACGGTGGTGGCTTAAAAGAGAATAATTGTTCCTAATAAAATGGTAATAGGTTCTTGGGAACATCAAGTGGTAACGTTGCGAGTATGTGCGAGGCGCTGGACGGACGTTTGTGGTGGTATTGGATAGTAGCGAATGCAGCAAAGAAAAATGGCGCCTGTTTTAAACATTACCATCGTCTTAGTTATCTGTTCTATTTTTGTAGAGTGCAGAAAAGACAAAGTTTTCTGTACAATATGCGAGATTGGCCTCATTGCTAATAAGTCGCAGATCATTCACAATTTTGCCCTGTTTCTGGTCCATGAGTGATATTGTTTCGTGTTTTGGTTTGGACGCGGACACGTAAAGCTAGGATGGGGTGCTGTGTAATACGTGCAAAAATGCTTTATTAAAATACTGGATAACTGCGAAAAAATCTCTTCATGTAAGCTGTGAACGAGTGCAAAACGTTTACGCTTGAGATTTGAATAAAACGCTGTGAAAAAAAATTCTAAAGGCTAGTCTGTTTATATCACGTCATAATTACAGTTCTTGTGACAATATCCTTGCACTAATACGATTTTACCTCAGATGTGCAACCTAAGTGAAGTGATTCTGCCAGTTAGTATACTTTTCAGAGATACCCTACTCCAGCTACCAGTGTCCAGACCAGGTGCAATGCCCTAGTTCTGCGACTGATAAAATTTTAAAGAAATCCCACCCAGGGCTATGAAATTGTATGTTTCCATTTTTGGCTAGATGCTATTAAACGTAAGACCCAAATTTAAGCAATAACATCTATTAAGAAAATCAAAAATATGCTCACAACAGCGAAAATAATTAAAATACAGTAAAGATCTGCACTTTACCTCTGAGATAATGAAGTAAACTTTCTGCTCCTGGATTGTCTCCCTTTTCCATTTTGCTTGCACTCATTTTTGCTCTTTATAAATTTTGTTGTTGGCATTTTCTAGCTGCACATGTGTTAATTATTTATATTACCAATAATACTTAGCTACCTTGACTAGGTCACATCTATTGGGGCCAAGTTCTTATTACTTGAAATTAAAGAATTGAAAATTGGAGAAAATGAGCTCTAACGTTTCCTTTCATTCAATTCCAACAGGAGGATAGAGAAAACTCAAGAATCTAAAAAAACAGGTAAGAGCCAATGTACGATTCAATAAAATTAAAGCATGTCTGTGTGTCTCCTGGGGAATCAAGGCTATTTGATGCAGTTCAGGATGTAGTGACAGAGGCAGTTCACATTCTGCAGGCAGCATAGAGTTAAATAAGAAACAAACAGTGGCCTATTTTGTACCAGCTCTGCTATGGCTTAAGTCAAATGTACAACTGGGTTAATTTGAATGTGACCATGCAGTCTTCCTTAAGGACTGTCACCTGAATCAACAAGGTTTAAGTGCTGAACATCTTACTGGGAACTCCGGCAACAGAAAAAAGGCACAAGGCAAATGACATTTTGCATAACTCGTCCTCTTGCAACACCAGGAGCATAAATGAGGTTGTTTCAAGGGCAATTTTACATAAATGGCAACTGGTGCAGCTTATGATAGATGACTATAAACATTACTGTGTATACACAGCCAACCTGACACTGGCAAGCCAAGAGCTCCTAAATTCATGCGCACAAATACTGAATATACGAGACCCAGAGTATCAAAAGTCAGAATAATCACTATTGGAGAGTGAAAAGTTACTCCTATCGCATTTTTTTGTTGCCCTCAGGATTTCTTAAGTGACATGGATAAGCATTTATACTGAAAAATGAAAGAAATCTTTTGGATAGAAAAGTGAAAATAACATTTATGATTTTTTCAGCGTACAAATATACGTGTATTCTATGTGTTGTAGCTGATTCTTATGTGGATGCCAATGCAAGGAATCAAATTCAGGGATTTCATGTCTTTTGTCTGTACTTCAAGCTGGAATGGCTGTCAAGCAAGTGCAAAGCTAAACAAGGACAAGCATTCCTTTTCGCTTGAACTTGTGCCAGTGTCAAAGTGGGAGTAATGTCGTAATGGTCATATGTAATTGCATTTAATCGCAATTATTATAATTTATAGGGCGGGGAAAAGAATGCATATACGTGTATTTTTATATTTGATATTGATATTTTTCAGTTATGTTTCAAGACATTATGTAAACATTTTAAGCATAAGATTAAAATTCTTTATATCAAGGCATGTGTTAAAAACAAGGGCCAACTCTGCGCGAGCTCTGCTTGCTTTCCGGTTACGTACTCTCCGATAAGGAACAGAATTAAAATATAAGCAAACAACTGCGTTGGATAAATATAATTAATCTGGCCACGGTTATGGCAGGTTTAATGAAATCAAAGCTAACGGAATCATGACACATGGATATATGTAAACCGATTAACCTGCTGAATAAAAAATGGAGCAACAAAAATCCGCCACAAACTACACAACTAAATAAGAAAATGACAAAAGAAGAAATAGGGAATACCGTTAACAATAATAACCCGCAAGCAGGTGAAAGGGGAGGAGGAGGAAAAGATTTTGCTTGAGATCTGAACGAGTTGATGACGAGGGAGAGAAGGAAGAATTACTGGGTAAATACCTCAATATACTTACTTAACCCTGGCACAGCCCTATAACCTCATTGGCTAGATTTGCAGTACCTGGTACAGCCTGACCTGGCTAGTTATCATGTGAGTATCATGCCTTGCCATAATGTCTAGTTTTATTGTATATACAATACAACTACTACTACAACAATAACGAGAAAGGCGTAACTCGTTGGTTATTCATAACATGGCTGAGAATTGAAACTCGGGCAACCAACGATAAAAACTGCTTCTTGTGGTCAGACCTGGGATTCGAATCCAAGATCGCTCCGTTACGCGGCGTCCTTACAAGTCCCAAAACATTAAAAAGTAAAACAAGGTTTTCGCACATTAAATGCCAATTGTTATCGTAATGTAAAGGATTTCGACAAATATCATTAGTCTGTTCAGAAAGTTGTAATGTCTAATCAAATGCATTTGCTTTGACGCTTCACTGCAGTCCTTTTTTTTTGTTTCGTAAATCTAAACAAAACTAGCTTATATGTTCAAAAATTCTGACCATGTTACAATAAGTAATATTAAGCATTTACTGATGATTTTAATGTATTCCAGATATAAATCTGCGCAGTTTAAGCTAAAGTTTGAATAAGTGACATAATTGTCACGTTTATTGTTCTTTTGTTCCAACAATCACACAACCTTTCTCGAATATCATTCCGACGAACTTTGCAATCCTTTATTCCAGATAGCCACCATCAGTTACTATTCAGTCCCATCCCCGGCATGAACGTTGGCATATAGACGGCCATCATACTGTCTCAGGTTGACGTACATCTGTTAGTGAAAATCAATCAAGAATAAAGTTAGCTTAAGATTTTTTTAGCTGTTCGTTAAAAATGTATTGCAATTTTATCATGATGCACAATGATGACGATGATGATGATGATGATTAAAGCTTAATAATTGCTATGTCAAATTAAGGTCAGTTGTGCGATTCGTCAAGTTCATCATTAAAACAAATTCCGTGAAATGTAATTCGTTTCAATTTCTTTATCATTTAATCGCGAAATTTGAGTCCCGCGAAATATAACCGCTCCATTTTCGCAAAATTAAGTTATAGTCCTTAGTTCATTCAAAACGTTCTATAGTTTCTGATTGGCTGAAATCCCCCGGCTAATTCTGCATAAAAAGTAGCTACCGTTGACTTTGGAAAACGCTCGTCGATAACAGAACGATATCAAAAAATAAAGGGAAACAGAAGTGAAGGGAACACAGGGTAAAAAAAAGGGGTGGATTTTGCGAGTTATGCGAAGTGGAAAAAGCCAAAAAAGTGCCTTAAAACAGCAATAATAGCAAAAATACCATTAAAATTACAGATTTCTTGGATGAATAATAAGTAAATTATTGGATTCGTCTTTTGTGTGATTTGAAGAATTATGCAGACCCCGGAACGTGTTATTTTCCTCGGCCTTATTGAATGCTGTCTTTACTGACAAGAAAGGAGGTCCCACTCATTTTAATCATCTGCTGAATACACTTATTTAGACAAGTTAACTCTTTGGCCTTTTTTTACGAGCTGTTTTTGTAGAATATATTCCAAAATTAATTCCAAATGTCTTCGGAAAGCGTCTTTTTCTCAGAAGTCTTAGAAAAGTCGTTCACTTGGGGCTATACTGTCACTCCTTCCACCCAATTTATTCCCTTCCTTGTCTCCATTTTAACAAAGAGACTTGTTATGTTTGTTATATAACTGTACTGTGACTGATAAGTGGCGAAACAATCAGTCTTTTCCTGTAAATGTAGTACCACCTTGATCATGTTGCCTAATCATCTCACCTTGTGTTTTCTCTCCATTTCCTTCATGGTCTTGCGCAGGTTTTGAAATGTTGGTCGATCATTTGGTTCTTCCTCCCAACATTTCAGTATGACCTGGTACCTGGGTCATTTTAACAAAGAGCCCAAAGATTTTCTTATAATAAGTTAAGAAACAGACGTGAAGTGGACAATTTTTACTTTCGTGATGTCCTGCCTATCCTTAAGTAAAACGCTTTAAGGGTTCATTTGGAGGTGGAAAGCCCAAGTGGAAATTAAACAGAAGCGCGCCAAAAGTTAAAGGGGAACACACACAAGCTTAAGTCTATAGACTGGTCTAGTCCTCACGTGGAAGAGGATTGCTTGAGGCAATACCCCCTTGCATGAGTAGCCTCTTTTGATAGAGATACAGTTGCAAATACTAAAAACTGAGATAATCAAAACTGAAAATCCTTAATGGCTAAGATATTATATGATACAATAAACTGAGCCTTTACTCACAGTTTCTCATCAACGTGTCTTGGTTTCGGCATTCTGTATCCTTTTTGAAGTCGTTCTGCGATTTGACGAGGTTTTATATCTGGATATGGAGTCCCACCTACAGAATGACGTTGGAATATTTCATTTATCTATTCATTTATTGAAGAAAAGGAGCGATTGTATTATGTAATTAATATCTGATGCAGAACTCAGCTTATTTAACTGTTTTTTAAACAATATTGTGTATGTTTCTGTTTTAATCCACGCTTACCTACAGTAAGTATCTCGTAAAGGAGAATGCCATAACTCCAACTGCAAATTGAAAGGAATGGGAGATGTGAACGAAAAATGAACAAGACAATTTCAAATACCATATAATGTTCACTACTCACACGTCACTTTTTGTTGTGTACACTCCATACAACAAAGCCTCATAAGCAGTCCACTTAACAGGCAGGCGACCCTTAAGAGTTATAAAAGAAAAAAAAAAAAGAAAACGAATTCAAACGAACTAAGGCGTTCTCTTCAAAAACAAGTTGTAGGTCATACCATTTGATTAGAGACCTTTAGCATCAGGCAAACCGCAATTTCAAACCGCAGTTTGCGGTTGCGCGTTTGCAGTTTCGCGTTCCCGAGATTTCAAACTTTAGCAAGGCGTTCAGTTCAGTTCATTTTTATTTCGCCAAAATATAATACAATACAAGAATACATATAGGAATTGTAAGGTTGCAGGGGAGCCCAGAGAAACCAGAAGGCTTATGAAGCCTGTGCCCCCAGTCTCAAAGAAATAAGCAAAATAAAATGAAATTCGCGGAGTGATACGTTAAAAATAGGAACTAAACAGGGACTGAGTTAAGTTATGAATTCAGAAACAAGACAGAAAAAAAAATTAACTCTGGATTGGAACAGAATACTTTCTTTTGTTATTACGTCAGGAAGGAATATAAAATCGATTTGAACTACGCGTTCATTGTTTAGGGCCGCCATGTTGTTTTTATCAAGTCGAAGTGCATCACTTTAATCGCCCAAAAATCAGCAATAATTCATTGATTCGAGATCAAAAATCCAACAAAAACATCGCAATCGGATATAAAAAGCTAATTCATACCTTTAAACGCGAGGCTGTACAATTTTTTGTGGCAAAAAACCTTGCCGTAAATCACTTACCGCTGGGAGCCCTTCCTGCGGTTCAAACGTGAACTGCAAACTGCAAACGTGACCGCAAGGTCGTGGCCACGTGACATTTTGCGGTTTGCAGTTTCCCATGAAAAACGTGATGCTAAAGGTCTATATTACCTATAAATATCACAGGTCACAAACAACGCCCACAATCGGGTTTTTTGGGGTTTTTTTTGTTACCTGCTTATCATATCGAGACTTTAATTTTACGCACATGCAGAAAAGCTTTAAGCTCAAAACTTTTCGAATTTTTCTGTTATAATCCTTCGTGATTTGCTCTTTAGTGTGTTTGGGTTTTCTTAAGTGTCTTGCAATGCCGTGACATCTTCATTCATAAATTTGTAAACCTTGGAGACGTGCGGAATGTTGCCATGACAACTTTGTAATTCCACATGTAAAATTATAAATTAGTATAGGTAATAACATGATCAGTTGTGACATTTGGCATAAATACCACGAGTGACATTTCAAAATTGTTATACGTAATCTCACGAGCCGTTAGGCGAGTGAAATTTGAGACAATTTTGAAATAGCACGAGTGGTATTTATGCCAAATATCACGTACAAATCATGCTATTATTTGTTTATACTACTACCCGCAAACGGTTTGTAAATTTCACATGTAGGTATTTCAAATTAAGCTGAAATACCACTGCTCTAAGCCAATCAAATTGCAGTAATTTCTCATGTAGTAGTATAAAGGCTGAAATTTCGAGCAAAAATTAAGGACTAATTGTCACCCATGATATAAAAGAAAACATCAATATCATTATGATTGGTTAAACATCCAAAGCAAATTGACTTCTTAATTAATATAGATTACCGTTCAATCTTCTTGACTTAAGAATTACTTACAAATCAATACAACAGGCTGCCATTATTTCTGTCTTCTAATAATAAGACAGCTTCAAAATATAGAGATAAATTTGTTGTCTTGCGTTTTCATTTATGTCGGTTTTTTGTCCACTGCGCATTAGTTTCCTGTTGTAATTGGTAACTATAATCGTTTCTCAGAAGTCAAGACCAAGTTCGCTTGCCGAGGATCATTAACAAATAGAGGAACTTTATAAACAGGAGAAACTCATCAGCCTTTTTATCAGAGTATCGATCCCGGAAAGTTTACAAATACCCAGTTTTATACCCACCCGACTTTTTTTGGTGTAAATGTCATCCTGATGCACATCCCTTGCCATTCCAAAATCTGTCACCTTACATTTTTCTCCTTCACCAACTAGAACATTTCTTGCCGCCAAGTCACGATGGATTACCTACAAGAAAAGATGAGACTTGTTATTCCATTATCAGACTAAGTTGAAAGCTTAATAAATGCTTAAAAAAAATTGGCCTAGGATGCTGGGTACGTTTGCAGGCAGAAACATTTGTCAAACCTTTAGGCGTGATTTATGAAGAGACCTGTGTCTGTGTTTGACACTAGTAGAATATGGATTGAAATATCAGATAAGAAACTGAACATGATATTCACAGTATGAATGAATGAACAACCTAAACGGTAGAAAAAGTACCGGCTTGATTAGCTCAGAGGATAGCAGAGCGTTGCGTCCGGTCATCGCAAAGATCAGGGTTCCTTTTCAACCGCTTAGGTTGTTCATTCTACTGCGAAGATCATGTTCTCTTTCACACTAATAATATAACAAAGCAAAAACAGACGATCGAACCTTTTTTGAAGACAAGTAACACATTCCATCTGCGACTTGCCAGGCAAATTTCATCAACTGATCCGCTGATAGAGTGGTCTGTGGCTTGCTATCCGGGTCCTTGAAGTACGTATCGTTTAGTCCTCGACTCTTCCTCAAATAGCCCAGCAGGTCACCATACGGTACATACTCAATAAGGACTAACAGGGGATC